GTCCCCAGCACCCCCCAGGCCAACACCACCGGCTCACAGCAACGTCCCCCAGCCTCCAAGTAAAACCTTTCCTTCCCCTGGTAGAAAACACCCCGAGGCACAGCCCAGGTATCACCCACGTACAGATTTTCTACTTCTCCAAGCGAAACCAGGAGACGGATCTTGGCTCCTGCTGGTTGTGATCTGCAATGTTTATTTGACCCAAAAAAAAAGGCATTTTCATGCAGAATCTTTTGGTTCATAAAAGTTGTTTCCCAGCAGCCACCTGACAACCCTCCCCCCTAAACCGAGAAATAAAGTGACCCAGGAGTTAGCAAAATAAAACGAACCGTCCAACTCCGACAAAGAAAAGTGGTTCCTATCATCCGGTACAATATGGCAACATTTGGCAAGTAGAGCTGATCTGCAGTTCCCATCTCTCAAGCGCTATGGAGCTGGCCCCGGTCTCCAGCCCTCCGGTTGTCTGTCTGGGGGACAGACTCACGTCCCTGTGCTGCAGGACCTGGGGACTCTCCAGGGGGTCCAAGCCAGGCGGGCGAGAGCTGCCGCGTCAGCATTTTTAACTGGGCGATATAAATATAAAACATCGATACAAATGGGTTCTTTGTACAGAAAATATCATCTCACAAGGCACTGGGGTGATGACCGCGTGGCCGCCCCCCCCGGGGGGGGCTCCTCCTGGCCTCCTCCAGCCTCTGCTGAGCATCGGAGCGGGAGGAAGGAGGGGAAGAAGGGACCGGAGAAGCCCCAGTGCTGCCATCCAAGAGGGATTTCACCCCACCGCTGCCCCCCAAACGCCCTGGGAGTTGTTTTTCCCAGCCGGATGGTGCTTTTCCTTGGTGGGGGTGGCGTGACCCCGTGGGGGCTCCGGTCTCCTTGGGATGGCTCGGGGCTGGGTTTGGCCTGGAGGGAGGTGCATAGATCGGCCCGGGGCTGGGGCTGCTCTGCCCGGCGCTCGGCTCCCTCTTCACGCCAGCAGCCCCAGCCGGGTCACCTTGGCCGAGAGGAAGGAGTGGATGATGAAGACGATGGTTTTGGGGCAGGAGTGAAGGTGGAATTGCTGCAAGAAAGGAACGGAGGGATGTTTGCAATGGGGAGGGCTGTTCCTGGAGCAGCCAGCTTTCTGCTTGCGGCAGGGAGGGCAGGGACCACCCAGAGCCCCCCAAACCCCACCACAGCCTTACTGGGGCCCTGGGAAGGGCTG